TGACATAGAGTAATGCCTTTTGAGGAAGAAATATTTGTTTTACCAGAATTAAGAATGAAAAAACAAAATCAAATATTCCATTTATACGGTTCATGATAATAATTGCCTATCAAAAAATTAGATTCTAATCAAAATTAGAAATTTTAAAGTTGTCCAAAAGTGGACCAAAAACCATGGCCTCTGATAGATCTAGTACAGGGTATCTTGTTAAAAATGGCTAGAAAAAATTCTCCATTTTTATAATTTTTTGATACATATCCATGTTTTTGTGTTGTGTAGAAAGTTTCTACGAGTTTTGATTAAAATTGGATTTTTATGAATTTTTTAATGTGTTTAAAAATTGGGCGAAAGTCCCTAGTGTCGTTGGCCAAATTTTGCCAAAAATGAAAAGATCAGAATCCTTAACTTTAATAATTTTTCCTGATGCATATACATGTTTTTATGTTGTATAGAAAGTTTGAGCATATTTCAATTAAATCTAAATTTTTTATGAATTTTTAAAGTTGCTAAAAATCAGGCCAAAATTCCTGTACTATAGTACAGTGTTTTTAGTCAAATTTTGTCAAAAATGAAAAGGTGAGAATCCTTCATTTTAATAATTTTTCCCGATACATATACATGTTCTTATGTTGTGTAGAAATTTTGAGCATATTTTGATTAAACTTAGATTTTTTACGAATTTTTAAAGTTACTCAAAAATCGAGCCAAAATTAGCCAAATTTTGGCAAAAATGAAAAGACGAGAATTCTTCATTTAAAAAATTTTTCCTGATACATATGCATGTTTTTATGTTGTGTAGAAAGTTTGAGCATATTTTGATTAAATTTAGATTTTTAATGAATTTTTGAAGTTACTCAAAAATTGGGCCAAAATCCCTGCACTATAGTACAGTGTCTTTGGCCAAATTTTAGCAAAAATTAAAAGGTGAGAATGCTTCATTTTAATAATTTTTCCTGATACATATACACCCTAAATGTTTTTATGTTGTGCAGAAAGTTTGGGCATATTTCGATTAAATTTGGATTTTTTATGAATTTTTAAAGTTGCTCAAAAATTGAGCCAAATTAAGTGCCTGTGCTAAATTTTGTCAGTAATGGCCAGGAAGGAATTTTCTATTTTTATAATTTTTTCTGATACATAATACATGTTTTTATGTTTTCTAGAAAGTTTTAGCAGATAGCAGACCCTAATTAGAATTAGATTTTTACATTAAAAAAAATTTCTACAAATTTATGTGCAATAGTAAATGCCATGTAACACTATCATTACTTTTAGTGCAATAATTAAACTTCCCATGTGTGATGTGATTGATATAATGTCTAACTGAATTTTTAAATGACATGTACATACATGTACAATGCATCTTTAACTTTTCCTAAAGTTGTTAAAGATTAGAAGTTTATCATTTTGAATTTTACCATGCAGTAAAGAAGCTCCAAGAAGAAAAGAATGAATTAGGTCAACAGTATGCAGCAAAAATAGATGTAAGTAGGCATGAAATTTCAAATTTTAAGTAACAAAAAAATAATTTACCAACATTTGAATTTCACAATAAAAATACATTTATATTACTATTATTATTAGGTATTGGAAGAAGTACAGAAAGAGGAGAGAGATACTCTGACACTTAAACTATCACAACTAGAGATTGGTTTGAGGGAAATAGAGACACAATGGAAAGAGAGTGAGTAATAGTCTGTCACATGTAATGAGATTTAGAACTAATTTTATAAATTTCTCATGCTATAGAGTATTGTGGGGACATTGAATTGGAGCAACAAGAACTGTACGATGAGAATCAAATGCTTAAATTATCAGTAGCAGAGAAAGAAACAGAATTATTACAGTCACAAGATTCTCTACTGTAAGTACATGTATACAACAACACATGATATGATTTACAAAAATAACATTACCTTTATTTTAATCTTATTTATTATAGTGAGTTAAGGCAGTG